CGGGCCCTGCCCTTCAGGCCGCCCGGCCGCCCGCAGGCCCGCCCCTCGCCCGCCGGAGTCGCGGCCCGGCCAGACTGTACCTTCTGGAAGGCGGCGAGCGAGCGGCTGAACGCCCGGGACACGCAGCGAGTCCGGGACAGCATCTCGGAGGCGGCGGAGCCGAGGGCGGGCGGACACCGGATGTGGCGGCCCCGCAACCGGAAGCCAGGCGGACGGCAGCACTCGCCGAGTTTTAGGGGGACTCGGAGCGAACCATCGGTGGCTCGGGGGGGCGGCCGCCGCGCTTCCCGAAGGCGCCGGGCTGCTGGGTCACTGGATCACCCCGGGGTCGGACCTTTCCGCAAAACTGTCCAAGTGCTGTGCCTTTTTCTTCTGCGACCCCGGGGCTCCAAAGCTTTTGGCCTCTGCACTGCCTGAAGGGAAGGAGCAGGCGGACGTGGGTTTTGAACTCAGGCCTCGGACAAGCTCACCCATAGGGACACTTGTCTCTCGGAGCCTCAGATGCTTCAAGTACATATGGAGGAAAACTACGTATACCTTCTTGCCTCTCTAACCCCGAAGCGAAGGTGGGGTCCCTTGTCCCATCAGATGCTCTAACGGGCTCCCACAAGTAGCTTGACTTCCACACCCTCCGATCTTCCTCGTCCTCCCCAGTCCCTAGGACAGCCTCCAGCCAAGTTCTCCAAATGCAGCAAGCTGTCACCTTCTCCTAGCAGACAAACTCCGGTCTTCATTGCTTACATTCTGTGTGTTCCCTGCTGAATCCCGCCTCTAGGCCAGAGGTCAGGTAATCAATAAACACTCAGGGGCTGACCTGGGGTCTCTGCGCCAGGACGCTGAAATGAAACAAGTGGGGCCCTTCCACGTCTGCTCCTGCGCTAAGCCCTGAGGCCCCTGAATGTCCACTTTCGGGCTCACTGTCCTAACAGTAGGACTGCTGGCCGAATGAAGAGTGAGCGAACTGTGAGCGACGTGGTCCGTGTTGGTTTTCGTTTCTTGAGTCATCTTGCCACCCCTGAACGCACCGCGCCTGGAATTGCAGAGCAGTGGCGGAAACTCTAACTAGAAATGGAAAACACCCTGAACCAGCGGCAGCCGGTCGTCAGGCCTGAGAGTCCCTCTCTGGTTTTTCCTGAGCCCTTCTCCCTTGCTGCGGAGGCTCACTCCTCCTGCACACCTGTCAGAGATGCTTCTGAAATGCACACCTAATCCTGGCCTCCTCCTGCTTAGGTCTTTTCTGTATCTGTAGGATAAAGTCCAACTATTGCAGCTAAGTGCCTGGTAATCTGGCTTCTGGACCCTGATCCTCTCGGCGGCGTCTGGCAGCCCAAGAGCTTTAGTCTTGCGACCTGCTGGCCACCACCCAGCTCTGCCTTACTCCTTGGTGTCCTAGTGTGGGCTGTTCCCTCTGATTTGCCTGAAGCCAAGTTCTTTAAATCTCTCTCCAAATCCCTTCTTAATCCTGCCCCCACCAGCTGTGTTAATGGATACTCTACGCTTCCAAAGCACCGTGTGTGTGTGTGTGTGTGTGTGTGTGTGTGCGCGCGCATTACATTGTACCCCCCTGTGAGCTCATCTCCTCCGTGACTGAGCGCAGTCAGGAATTCTGGTCACTCCATTTTACAGGGTCCTCTGTCCTCAAGGCAGTGTTTGGTATTCTGTAGTGTCCAGTAAGTGCTTGAGGAGTGACTTACTACTGATGGGATGTCACTGCTGCACACAGCTGAGGAGTCCAAGAACAGTGACAACCTGGAGCCGAGACAGTGCCCTATGGAGCTCCTGTTCCTCTTTCTTAGGCAGCCTGTTTCTGTGTGTGTGTGTGTGTGTGTGTGTGTGTGTGTGTGTACATGCAAGCACAAGCCCTGAGGATCAAATCCAGGGGCTTGAGAATGCTGAGCGTGCGTTTCTACTAAAGAACAAAATATTTCCCCTGGAGTTTTAGTGATTAGTCAAGTTAAGCTTAGATTTTATAATCACATACTGTGCGTGCGTGCGTGCGTGCGCGCGCACACACACACACACACACACACACTTGTACATGGTAGCATGCAAAGTCCCTCTCAGAGAAAACGGTTGAAATTAAATACCTTGAAATTCACATAAGGCAGGTGAGCAGCCAAATAGCTCAGCAGACCAAGCACCTGCTTAGGCAAGCACAGGGACCAGGGTTTGATCCTTGGCACCACGAGCCTTATTGCCCCATCCCACTACGAATCTGAGCTGTGTAGTAAGACCCTGTACCAATTACATTTAAAAAAAGAAAAGAGGGCTGGTGAGATGGCTCAGTGGTCTAAAGCACCTACTTAGAACAAGCTCAGCAAAGCACAGGCACAGTGGTTCGATCCCCCAGCACCACATGCCAGCCAGCCCCGCCCCCTGGTGGGCTGAGCTGGCCACACACACACACACACACACACACACACACACAAATAAATAAATATTCAAGAAAAGAAAAGAAGGGGAAACTACCTGCTTGGGCCCCTGCTCCTGTCCCTCTCTCGGGACAGGAGATTTCTTTCTCTCAATAAATATATTCTGCTCTTAAAAAAAAAAAAAAAAGAAAGAAAGAAAGAAAAAAAGCCCTTCCCTGGCAAGTGCCAGGGCCTGAGTTCAATCTCACATTCCGCAAAATAAAAAAAGAAAGAAAGAAATTCACGTACGGGCCCCTGTGACAGTTCAAACTGCAGCCCAACAGGCTAACACTCTTCTGCTCTTAGAGTCTCTGAGGCACAGCATTGAGGATTGAGATAGGAGTTCTTGAATATAAGCTGTAGCACTGTGTGGTGTTTCTGTTTTTGTTTTGTTTTGTTTTTGCAGTTTTATTGAAGCACAAACATGCACACAGGCTGACTACTAGCTTTCTTTGCTGCTCAGCCTGGTGTTGGCATTGGTGACTCACTCAGATGGCTAGCGGGACGCTCTTTCCACAGTGGCCTTGAGGTCCCTAGAGGCGATGTTGTGAGCAGTGTTGCAGCAATCTCAGATTCACTGCACATCAGCAGCACCTCCAGCTCTTTAACACTGTGCCCCAGCGGCCAGGGAGATGGCTCAGTAGAATACGCACTTGCCTGGCAAGCGCAAGGGCCTGAGTTTAATCCCTGATTCTGCCAAAAAACAAAAACAAACAACAGCCACAACAAAAGCCAGGGAGGTAGCTCAGTGGAATAAGTGCTTGCCTGGCAAACACAAGGTCCTCAGTTCAATCCCTGGTACCACCAAAAAACAAACAAACAAACAAACAAACTGTGCACCAGGGGCTTCCCGAAGCCTCTGGGCAGCTCACTCTCTGCCTTTGTCTTGCTTCCACAACCTGTGGGGGACATCATGCTGTGGCCCTTACAGCTTCGGGGCGCCTGCTGTCAATGCCGGTGGGTCTCCACCAGCCATGCTCAACTTCGACACAGTCATCTGGCCTGTGTGCACGAACACCTTGGTCCTCGCTGTCACGAGTGCTCTGAGGGCCGCCACAGTGCCGGGTTGGAGGAGGTTGCCACCTCTGCAGGCTGTGCCGAGGAAGAGTTTTGCCTTATTTTCTGAGACAGGCTCTCACTGTGTAGTCCAGGCTGGCCTCAAATTTGTAATCTAAAAAAAAAAAAAACAAAAACCTGGAGCCAGGGAGATGGCTCAGTGGAATAAGCACTTCCCTGGCAAGCACAAGGGCCTGAGTTCAATCCCCGGTTCCGCCAAAAAAAAAAAAAAAATTTGTAATCTTCCTGCTTAAGCTTTATGAGTTCTGGATTGCCTGGGGTGTTTTTTTTTGGGGGGGGGCCGGATAGTGCCTGTTTTGGGGAGGGGGGTTGTTTTGTTTTGTTTTGGCAGAACCGGGGATTGAACTCAGGCTCTTGCACTTGCCAGGGAAGCACTTATTTCACTGAGCCATCTCCCTGCCCTGATGCCTGTTTTTTAAATTGAGAAATAAGATGCATTTACTTTCAAATTACAGAAGCAAAAGCATTTGTGTTTTTAGAAAGAATTAAGTGGCTCCTTTAACAGAACACCACAGAGTAAGCACCTTAACCTTAAATAGTGCAGAATTTTTGTTTTGTTCTGTTTTTTGAGGTGCTAGGGATTGCTTCTAGGGCCTGGTAGGCAGTTTGCATAACACTGAGCTATATCCCTATATCCTTAGCCCTTTTAATTTTAAAACAGGGTTTGCTAAATTATCCAAGCTAGCCTCCAATTCCTGATCCCCTGCCTCGGCCTCTCACGTGGCCGCGATTCTGAGATGCAGCGCTCTTTCCAAACCTTGAGCCCCCAGTATGTGTGACAACCTCACACACACACCCGGGGTTGTATGCTTATTTAAATGTTTCTGACCAGATACTAGAGGCTATCTTTCCATTCTATTGTAATTCAAACTAATAGGTGAATACATACTAAAAATAGACTTATTCTTAAGTTTCCCCACCTGTTTTATTTGTTTGTTTTACTTCAGATGAGTAATGTGCCCACGTTGTAACAAGGCTTGAGGGAGGCACATCTCATGCATTATAAGACATGAACAACCAATCAGCACGCTCATGAACCGAAGGATCCCCACCTGTTTTTGAATTTAAATGGGACCATAGTGCCTGCGTCCGGCTTACATCTTTGGTTCAGCACTATGTTTTGAGGGTTTCTCCATGTTGATTAATGGAGCTCTCATCCATTCATTTTCATCGCTGTTTCACAGCGTTCTTTCCATTTCCCAAGCCGAAGGAGACGGCAAAATGTGAGGGAAGTGGGGGTGAGTGGGTTTGTGCAGTGGGTTCCTCTCCTCCCTTAGGGCCTCCCCGAGGGTTCCAGCCTCTGCTGCAGGGGTAGGCCACAGGCTCTCTTCTTTCTGCAGATCTGAGTTGCCATATTTTCGTGCTGGACTGAATGGAGCCTCCTTCAAATACTCAGGGCATAGGGAGAAAGACAGTCACTTTGGAGCTGCCTTGCTGAGTACTGAAGCAGCAGTCAGGAGCTTTCCACTGGAGACGGGGAGGGGGATGGGCAATCTGTCTCATGACGTTCTAAGGGCTCTGGAGGCTCTTAGCAAGGACAGCAGAGATGGCATTTGGGGAAGGTCCCTGCTGAGCTGACTTTCCAAAGCACCTGAGTTGGGGTGGAGATAGGAAATGGGGGTGCAGCCAACCAGCTCTGTTCCTATTTGCATATTCATACCCCCCCATGCTGGTTGGCTGAAGTAAGCAGCCCCCACTGTCCCTAGCAGGGCTGGGTCT